TCTTAACTTGAAACCAGCGTCTCATATGGAGTGCCACCCCCTATATACCGGCTTTTTGTTGCATAATTTCTTTTATTTCAAACAGAACATAAAGACGTATAATAATAATAAGGACGTATAATACGTCTTTATGTTCTGCTTGAAATAAAAGAAATTATGCGACAAAAAGTATAGGGGTGACACTCCATACGAGACGCTGGTTTCAAGTTAAGACTACACTAAAATATAACTAGTATTGTACTGAGTTTTGGTAAGCGGAAGCTGTAATTTTTTTGTTTTTGTTTTTTTTTTTTTTGGACGCCCGGTGAATCAATTAGGGTAAATAATCACTCGCTCTATCCCCGGTTTCTATCGATCGAGTTATCAACTTTTAGAGAAAGGCAATACTAAGACCTCTATAAGCGCTAAGTAAACAACTAAGGAACCGGCGAAAAGGCACCAGGAGCGAAAACTAAAATAACGAATAAGAGAAAGCGGGTGATTTACCATTAACGCCAATAACTAAGCATGTTTACAAGCTTTTCTAGCGCCGTTTGCCAATCTTGGCAGCCGAAAAGTTAACAAAACACGTTAAATGAATTGTTGTTCATGACTTAACAGCAAAAGACATCTGATCTTTATGTTTGAGGATGTGTAGTTTTCTTTTATCGTGAAATACAAGTCGCCCGATGACAGCTTGAAATCGAATATTTCTGCGTGCACCACGCTATCTTATGAGGTTCTTAAAATAATAAGCTTCTTTTTAAAAGCGTCGCGTCCCTTTAAACGCCTTGCTAGTAAAAAGCTGCGAATATTTAAAGCCGATTGTAAGGTATACCAGATGTATACTTGCCTTTTTGAAATTTTCCAGCACAGTCTGTAGGAAAAAAAAAGGTGTGGAGTGTATTTTGTTCTATTTGAAGGGTTAATTAATTGTAAGTGTTTATGCAAATCAGAAGAGTGACAGTCACAAACTGTATTTTTTTCATTGAAGTACAGCAATCTTTTGCCGTGTGCCTGTGTCTAGGTCCTGGTGACCCAGTGTCGACTGATACAGTGTATTCTGAAACAGGTCGGCGCATCTCTCTATCGCTTCTCTTGCCCGGCTCGCTTTTCATCGCTCGCGCGCGTGGCAGTCTCAAGCTAACCTGTTCGGGCTACTCGGTGAGAAAATAGTGGACAAACATGCTTTCCATTTCGATTTTCGGTTAGAGTTCGTTGGGGTTAGCGTTTTCTTTTTAGGACCCTCTAAGTGGAATAAGATAAATAACGAGCGCGGCATCGAGAAAATCGAGATTAGGAACGAAGTTATTGCTATGGCTTTCGTGGTTTTCAATGCGCTTTAGTTCCATTAGAATTTCGCGTTGAAAGCTCGGAAACGCCCAGAAATATCTTAACTGCTCTAGACACTTTAGATAACATCACGCCACTGTGAGCTTGTGCTATTTTTTTTTAAGGACAGAGCTATATGCATTTGTCTACAGCTCAGGGTAACCGTATATCTTTCCATAAAAAAAGTTACCTCTCACATAGTGCGGTCCTGTTGAAAGTAAATTGAACAAACTAAAATCTCTTCTCAGGTCCATGCTTCGTGACACGCACACGTGCTGATAACACTAATTACGTGCTAATTCAAATTAGGAAACTGTGTCCATTTAAATAGGGGACCGGGGGGCACTCCCTCGTATGACCTGCACAGAATGGACTGTTTTTGGCCGTGCTGTCCTAATCAGTGTAAACAATGTACATACCTTTATGGACGTCTGTCCTAAGTAGGGTCCGAATCTACCCTGAACAGGTGTGGTTGCAAGATTGTTGCCGTTAAACATGGTTTTACTCTACTCGGCAGTCCGAGACAAGAGACGCCTAATCTTGGGCGTTATTTGGCTTATTAGCCATGAGATAATTTTCAAGTAAATAGTTGTAAGGTTGCCAGTATCTTTGAATTCCATTCACTTTTTTGTCCCAAAGAGGGTTCTAGAATAGTAGGTGTTGTCCTAAACACGGCAGGGCTTCAATTCCACGGCTGCACCCTTATCTCCAAACATGGCTCAAGTCCTCCCCCCCCCCGGTCAATCGGTCAATTATTTATAGCTACATCTTTTCCTCCAGAAATGTGTAGAAATATGAACAAAAAGCATGAAATGAAAAAAAAAAAAAGATTTTCTGTGCAAGCGCAAATGGTTGTGCTTGCATGTGTGTCTGGCTTTGTTTTTCATCGGCTTCTAGAGATCAGAAATTGCAGAAAACGCCCAAAGAGCACACCCAGTAGACAAATTTCATGAACGAACTTTTTTCGAAAGACGCCTGCAGATAAAAGACAACAAACCAATCAATTCTATGCATGTTGCATGTTTTAATAATCAACAAAAGATTGAAATAATCTGTCAAGCATTACTTCAAATAGCCTTGATCTACATTGATCTTTTGACGATTAGTCTGGGTCACGCCAGAACTAAATGTACAAAGAAAAGGCTTGTTGACCCACAGCCTTGTTGAAGTTTTCCCAAGAGAATTTTAGCTATCTTTGTGCAAATTTTTCCACCTCACATCTACATAACAGTTGACGGGGTCCATTCTTAGTCTGCTTCATATCCATTTTGGAACAAATTGTGTCAAGTGCCTGGTTGAAAAGATGGTTAAAAAACAACGCCAGATATTTGATAGATTTTCATGCCTGACATATCTAAAGGTCACTGCCCGATTTTCCCGAAAGTCGGAAACCCGGGTCGGAAAAACGACGCCAATTTGTGCCATATACACGCGCTGAAGAAGAAATTTGAATTGAACATCGAACAAATTCATACGACAAATGCTTTCTCTACTTCTTTTCCTTCCAGGAAAATACAGACAAATATTGAGTTTGGAGACTGTCAAACTGCAGAAGCCTTATTGAAAATATTTTGTTTATTGAGAAATCGAACGCGACTGTCTTTGATACATCCGGTGTTTGTTTTCGTCGCCTTGAATTATGAGGCACGTGGACAAATTTAATTCACCCAAACAGCAGGTAATAAGTCCTAAAGATCATCTGAAAGATGCCAGAAACGCAAAAGTACTCACTAATCTTGTCGCACCCTACAAATAGTTGGTTTGTCGAACTTTCTACACGGTACAAATGGCCTTATAAGATAACTGTTGTTAAATTATACGCACTTGCAAATTGTTTTTCAAAACTCCTGGCTTCTAGCGGACGCGTGGGATCGGAAAAAAGCCGACAAAACGACCGTTAAAAGTTACCGCGTCCCTCGGGTGTCAATCAACAGAAGAGGTATAAATTCGAGAGCGTCGGTTTGAAGGCGATCAGTTTAAAGCACGCTTGTGGTTGAACAAGCTCCTTGTATTTGTCCAGTGTGTGTATTGCCTTCTGTTGTGATGGACGGTAAAGTTCTTCTGATTATTTGCCTAGCTCTTCTTGGGACTGCTCAGGGATATACTCTGCGCGATTTACTGCGAGAACGAGGTAGGAACTGTTTGACCACTGTCGTTATTGTACAAACGTATTCAAATAGTTTGGCAAGGACATTCGGTGAAAAGACTGAATCGCGTTTTTTCAAATTTACTGTTGCTAAGCTGTTTAACTTAGAACTTGAAGAGTCGGAATGAGACTTAATGCGGGCAAAATCGGTCATATTTTTGCTCTGACTTTATATCACGTTTAACAAGAAATACTTTCGAGAATATATTTTTGCTATTATTACCATATAACGTACGGTTTATGGTGACAAAATACAATCGCATTCTAGTTGTCGGGTGACCTCGACCAAAACAATTTGAGAAGAATTTGCTGATCTTGGAAACTTTTATAATTGTTTTGCAGCTCTGAAAAGGTTGAGAGAATTCGACGCGAATCAACCGTTCAACGAAGAGGAGACCAGAGGTATGTTTATATTGTTTTTTTTTTTCTAACTGACATCCAATTCAAAGGAAAGATTTCCCGAAAAATGCTTATCACCTGAATAATTGTATTTTTCAGCACTACACCGCTTAAAGGAGTACCATTTTAGACGGCTGTACGACGAAAGTAAAGGATCAAGTAAGTCGGATGTCGCACGGGTTTTTAACTTTAAATTATTTACGAAAACGCGTGAGCGCGCACTTCAGTCTTCCCGTATACCACAAGGTGCAATCCTGCAAATTATGTTTCTGGACTATTTTAAGTTTCTTTTTGGAAATTTGCAATTTTCTTCCAGTCCGTTCGCCAAAAGATACCCGGGAAGGGTGGGGGATCGGGGAGGTGTCAAATTATGGGAAGCAGTACCCCCTGGTGCTAGGGCTTTTACATGCGCGGTTTCGGGTCTTGGATAAATCCAGGCTTGGTCAATCGATAACAATCGTTATTTCTGAAGACAGAAATTATCGATTGTTAGTGATTTTTGTCAACCGATAATTTTCTTTTTGTGAGTTTTCGCGACCACCTTCATTATTATAAGCAATTCGACTGTCTGCCAAATCAGTTCAGTGATAGTCGGCCCTATTGTTTGTTTATTTGTTTGTTTATTTGTTTGTTTGTTTTTGTCTCGCAAACTGCTGAAAGTGCAAACTGCTTTCACCTCTTTGTTTTCTTTTTTCATAGCGTGTAAAGATAACAATCCAGATTGCGCAGGATATATTTATGAGAACGGCGGTCCTGAAGAGTACTGTAATGATCCCGAACCTTACATACAAGAGTATGTCAAGGAACACTGCAGGAAAACTTGTAACATAGACAACTGTAAGTGGTCAATTCCTGTTATCATAAGTAATTAGATAACCATAAATGTTTTCAAGCAGTCACAGCGGCTAAAAAATAGCGATTCAGTAGAATTCAGAGATAAAAAGCAACAAGGAAATGGCTTATTAAAAAAATATGAGCTTTGTGTCGAGACAGATAGAACTGCCCGTAATAATTGAGTGTCTATTACAGAGGCGCTTTACTATACTTTAATGGAGGTCAGTCACGGTTTGCGCATATTGAAAAGTTTAGCCTCAATTGTTCAAATTCGTCGTTTGTAATCCGTGTTTATCTTCTCCATCCTTAGCCATCCTTGTTCCTTTATGGTTTATCATTATCTCTTTGGTGTTTTTCTATCTTATTAAACTGTTATTTTCAGGTTTCCTACCATTTAAAGGGAATTTTGTATGTGGCCAAAATAACTCAAAATATCGTGACTGAGCTCCTTTAATTGATCACGTCATTAGAAGTTGAACAAGCAGAATGTTCAATGGAAGATTTAAAACAACTACTTATAACCACATCCGCATCGGTTGTTTACCATTTACCCGAAAATTCCAGAGTTTTCGGTCAGAATGTAAATGATAAGACAGTTTTGGCTCGACCGACCGGAAAATTTCCGAAATAAACGGAACGTCTTGGAAAGGTAGTCCAAAATTTCCAAAGGAAAATGCGCTCACAATTAGGCTCTAGCAAGCTCCTGTTCTAGTCGCCATCTTGGAATTATGATCACGCCAAACTCGTCCTAGTCCCTCTCAGTAAGGTTGTTAGGTGGCTTACTACAGTTTTGATGGATTATGACAGCCAAACTTCTAACTCTTTTGAAAAATGTTCCAAGATGTTTTTCCTTTCTCTATTTACTGTTTACTTAAGTCTTTTACCATTCTATGTGAAACTTAAACAATTAAATGTCAACAAATGGCCAAAATGAACGACCGAGTACCTAAGGAGAGATTGGGCACTAGTAGGTTAAATCACGTTTTTCTCAAAATCTACCCGTGTGACCCCACCTCAAAATTTCAGAAATAAGAATTGGCTCTAATTTAACATTCATGCAAAGTAAAAAATAAATCTGTAAGGCAAATTTTTCGCAATCTAAGAAAATGTTAAATAAAAAATAACTCAAAATCTGTCTTACAGATTTTTTAAAAATTTTGACTCTAACCGTGATTCACCCCTACAAATCAACTGTGAAAATTTTATCATGGGTTGTACGGTAGGTTTTCGAACAATCCTCAATCAAAGACTGGCTTTTACAACCTTGGACAACTACTGTGTCGTTTTTGAGAACTTCTTGCCATGTCCCTGCATTGTTATCGGTGCTGTATTGAGTTTTAAGTTCTTTTTTTTTTTTTTACCCAGGCAATGGAGGATACGGCAATGAAATCAAAATACCATTTCCCCAAAAACCTGGTAGGTAGACCTTTTTTGTTTTGATTTGAACACGATTCGTTAACAACACTGAGCTTTTTCTTGATAGCTTACATGTAAGAGTTTGTAAGTCAATTACATGAGTTAAAATTGATAGGTGTTGTAAAATTGGGTGTACTAAAAATGAATTTTGTTTCAGAAAATAATTCCTTTAAAAATACGGTTGCCATGGAATCATCAAGTCCAGAGTACAATGACATATCAAAAATAGTTATTAGTACTTCTGACCTTTTGCATGTTTTGTCAGCCATCGCTTCCAGGCTCTTGTAATTAATCGCAATCACGCTTAAGTTCCTGCAAAAACCGAGAAAAAACCAATCGCGGTTACGAATGAGGAAGATTCGTACGGAATTAAGAAAAGAAACCATTCTTTTCAAGATGAGTCGCGGAGCATTGTTACAATGTTTCCGACGCCCTCCCCTCCCTATAAATCAGAGCTGTCTTGTATTTGCGCTTGTTACAAATTTGCTAGACATTTACTGCGTGCTGATGTTTTCAAAGCGCATGCGCGTGTGTCAGTAGATTTATATATTTGCATCACTAACTTAACCGTTTCTTTTAGTTTGCAAAAACGCGTTGGAGGGCGTCTGTTTCACTCTCAAATATCGATGCGATGAGTACTATGTTGATAAGTACTGCAACAAGATATGTAGTCGTAAGTATTAATTTCATTTTCATTACATTTTCATTTCTTTTTTGTAATAGTTTTTAACCTAGTCATAGATTTTAATAATTGCATCTTTTAGTTAGGTTTGTATTCTTTTTAATCATATGCAATTGTAAGCGCATTGAGAATTCTAAATGCGCAATGAGAACCTTTATTATTATTATTATTATTATTATTATTATTATTATTATTTAATTAAGAAATCCATTTTGATTTTAAAACTGGTACAATATCATTAAATATTATTTAAAAAAGTATCGAGACCACGGATTGATGCGTTTACTACAGTTGGCTTCCAGGGCAGACGCCCTTTTGGCTCGTCACGCAATCTTTCCTGGGGAGGAATGCGTGACGAGCAAAAGGAATCTACAATAGGAGGAATAGCAGATCTGCTCAATAGCGTCATTTGACTACAACTACCAGAATTCATTTTGTTTTCTCGTTATTATTTACATTTTGAATTCACAGTGGGATTTAGATAACAATCGTCCTAATTAACATAAGAGACAGGAAAAGTGAAGGGTTTTGGTAGTTGTAGTCAGTGTGCGTACTGCAGCGCAAAACAGGAATCGATGGAGAGCACATGTGGAGGCCCTATGCGCCAACTTGGCGCCAGGGGACAGGTGAAGGTGAAGGAAGTCAAATGATGCCATCATGCAAATCGCCTAGTCACGCAGTCATTAAAGGAGTACGTCACGGTTTGCGCATCTTAAAAAATTTAGCCTAAATTTTTCAAGCTCGTCGTTTTTAATTCGTGTCAATCTTCTCTCTTTTTTCCTTTATGGTCTATTTTTACCTCTTTGGTTTTTTCCCATCTTAGCAAACTACTATTTTCAGGTTTTCTTCAATTTAAAGGTGTTAAGTCTGTACGCGGAGGCCAAAATATCACTGTCACGTCAACTTTAGATCGAATTCAACGTGCCTTTTCCTGCCGTTTAAACTGTACGACGTGGAATAGTTGTTCGTTACAACGTTTTTCTTTCCAGTTTACCTACTTTGAGTGATGACTTAATGTCTGGATGAAAACAGTGTTAAAGAAAATCTCACCCTGCTTAGGTTCTTTTTTTCTAAAGTAGACGATATAAAAATTCAAAGCAATCTCGTGCTCTTCTCAATTTGTTTTCATCGCTTGAAATGATTCTGAGGTAATAAACTATTCTGAAAAAAATAGTTAACACATTTTCGCACAATTTAGTCCAAATCTATTTGTTAAGATACAGTTACTCTGACGATGTTCTTTATCCTGAGAAGATCAATGAAGTCTCGATTTCTCTTAATCGTTTGTCCTGTTCTCCTTTTAGCTGCATGTCACTAAAGTAACACCAAAGACACTGGCGAGGCATTGTGGGTAGGTATTTCATGACCCAAGGATTACAGAGTAGATGGAAACTAAAATTAATTGTGCAGAACTTCATTACGTACTGTCAGGGTTGACACAAGTCAGGAAATGGACAGAAAAAAATTCTTAAAGGTCAGGGAAAATTGTTATTTTGAAGAAAAGTCAAGGAAAATTGAAATATTAAGACATGTATGATTTAATATCATTGAAGGCTGAAAGAAACATTTGGGGTCGCTGTGATCTCAATGATGTTTTTCCTTAATTGAAGAAAGAAAATTTGTTGAAAACGTATTTGTCTTAATGAACGAGATGACTCATTATGGTAAGCAGTGTCAGATCTGCTAGGGAGAATTCGTCTTTCGCTTCTTTCGGAAGATTGCAACTTTCCGGTTCAGGCAAAACGGTGTGTAAACTGTTTCCACTCAAGCAAAACAATGTTTTAAATGAAATCTTTGAAGAAAACAAGCATTTTGCTATATAGCAATAGAAATGTAGGCGTCGTGTGTTCGCCGCTCATTGAGTAGTCCCACTAAGTAATTTTTGGCCTAAAAATAGACAATTTTTGACCTGTGTTCTAGCGGCCAAGCTTAGACGTCGTACGTATGGCAGTCGCGTAAACTAGGGCTTGTTTCAAGCCGAACGAATACCTTTGACTAATTTTAGGCACGCGCTTTCTCCAAAGTTTCCCAATCCATCACTAAAAAATACTTTACAAGACCAATCATTCTCATTTTCTTTTTAATTTCAGATGTCAATGGAGCTGACACAAGACAGGAAAAATCTATCGTTATTTTTATTAGTAAATAACAGCAATTTAAAAACAGAATCTGCTAATGAAAGAAAATAGCAAACACATTGGAGTGACAAAAGTTATTGGGGTTTTTTAAAGTAGATATGTCATTGTATCGTAAACGCTAACGAGGCTTCTTATGACCTCTAAGAAGAACTACCGAAGCTCTTTTTGCGAAACACAGCATGTATCAGGGTTTTTTTAACGTTTTTATTGCGTTAATAAACCTTGTCAAGTTCTAGCCCTGTCTTTGTCACGTAACGTCGACAGAGAGGACCCTTGCGTGACAGAGAGAGGGTCAGTACAATTATTAGATATAACAAGCCTGACAGTGCGTTTTTGGCCCTGTTAATATGAAGAGTATCGTGTCTTAAATTACATAGCGTTGTTGAATTTCTGGCCATTTATTCTGTTAAAATGTGTGGTTATATTGTAAAATGAGAAACAGTTGAAGAATGAAATAAAATCTTGCGAAATTTCTTTTAAATCGACATCAGTTTTGTTCTTTCTCAGGGATTAATAAGAGGCAACCCGAACTTAAATGAACTCGTTTAATATAACGGCTACCTTTTTAGAAGCTCGCCATGTACTGTGTCAAAAAGTCGTAGATGGTAGAACCGGTACGTTTGACTTTTTCTCTAGAGTGACTGGATCATTTTTACGCTTCTATACTGGATATCAATTAAAACAAAAACAGTTTTCAGCAAGCCGCAACAGCGTGAAATGTGAAAGAGGGTGAATGGATTTAAATTTGTCTGCTGAGAAATAGCGCGTTTCAACTGAACAAATTGTTACTGGGGATCTTAAGCAAATTATTATTTTCACAGATGTTGTTTCAAAATTTTGTCGCAAGGGAAAAAAGTGTCCGAAAATTAAACGTCGGAATTTTTTTTTGCAAGTCATACACAGTAAAGTTATACACAGGACAAACAAGTATGGCTAGAGATACAACATGAAAAATTCCAATTAAAATATGCAGAAAGGTCGCTTTATTGCAGCCGACAGTTGACAAGAAAATATGCCAAAATCTACACTGCACGTGCAAATCTATAGTGCTGCTCATGATGTTAAGTCTCCCTGACTTTCCTTTTCTTTTAATCTAAAGCCTGCTAATTCTAGAGAAGGTCAACGCCCTTATCAATCAACTGAACCGATTGGTCGCCCGTCGGGATTTAAATTTGTGATTGGTTAGCCAAGCCCCTCAGTTTCAATATAGTTCACTTAGCATCTGGATCAGAGTCGCCATTACACAGAGTTGTTTTCACCCAGTATTTGCCACTATTTATCTTCAAAACAAGAAAAGCGACAATAAGAACTAATTTACACCTAGTCTTCAATTTTTCTGCGCGGCCAGACGTATGCAACTGCAATCCAATCAACCAGAGGACTTGCTTTGTTAAACTTTTCTGGAAATTAAATTCGCTTGTCTTTTGTTTCACAGAAGTGACATTGAATGCTGACTTTTTTGGTTTTACGCCTCGTCATAGCGATAAGGAAAACGTTGGCAAGAATGAGCAACGTAAATTTATTGCTTCCTTTTTTCATGCTAATACTGGCGATTTATTGAATGTGAAACAGACCCACTGCTATAGCGAACTTTTTACCTTCTATATAAACTGATCAACTGGACCTGATCAACTGCGCCAGTCCTGCGCAATCTTACAAGGAAAAGGTTGGTAGTTCTTGATGTATAAGGAACTAAAAAAGTAGTTCTAAAACGACATAGATTGCGAAATTGGGCTAACAACAGAAAAGGTTTTTTCATTCAAAATGACTGCTTCAATTTCACGATAGCAGGAGTTATAAATCAGCTAAGTTTAATTAAGCCCTGGTCAGAAAAACCATATTCCTTCAGAAAACGTTGTTGTGATGGATATGAGTGCGCGCTTTCATAAGAAGTATTTAATTTCTCTGCTTGAAACGTGCCAGTACCGCTAGCAGATTTTCGTCAAACAAGAATCAAGCCTTGAGTTTGCCGTAAAGATTTACTTCATATTGCTAACGCGCAGCTCCTTGAAAGGTACATAACTGGATAAAATATATAATGAATGGCCTTTTAATCCTCTCTGAAATATAATCAGTATATAATCTGTATCTACCTTAACCCCTCAATTAAAATCTCCGTTACCAAAAGCAGTACAAGAGAATATCTTATAAAACTCGATAAACCTCGTTTACGGACAAAATTTAATTCTGTTACTATTGTTCCATCGTGGATTGAATATTTTTTATTAGGTCGGCCGGCACTGAGTTTGACGATTTGCTGCAAAATTTTTGTGGGAATTTTTTGTAGGAATCTTTACTTGATTTTCAATGTCCAATACTTTGCGCGGTAGAGTTATTCGAGAACATGATTTTTACAAGTTTCAGACGGCGCTTTTAAATTCATTTTCATTTATTAAACTTCAACATCCGTTCCTCAAGGCAATCCCTCGGGGCATAAGATATTCTCAATATTCATTTGGTCAAAGTCCCATCCCTCGAGCCAAAAATGATGTTCAAATGTACCACCTTGGGTGGCACTGGGCGATCGAACACCCCTACCTCAGGGACATGGTAAAAACGAGTAATGGAAAAGAAAAAAACAAAACAATTCACCTTCAAACGCCCGCTTTGAAGTTCCACTGTGTTCCAGTTAAACAACTTTGAAATATAAAAGTTATTAAATTTTCAAGCTCTCCAATGGCCATTTTTAGAGGCACAATGTTACAATGAACGCGTGGTCTGTTGATGTTTCCTCAATTCACCACGAGGAACAAGATATCTTGTTCAACGCAATACTAACAACTATTGCTGATCCTTCCTAGAAAAATCGGCGCCAAATGCCAAAGCGAAGCAGAGTAAAAGGTTTCATGTTTTTCATTTGCAACAATCTGTTCCGGTTACTAGCATTTTAAACCCCTTTCCGTGAATTTGTTTAATCGCTCTCTCCGTGAAGAAAAGTGGCGCGACCTCAATGCCTTTCTATTAACATAGATGTGTTATATTCAGACCGTGCTGTTTCAGTCTTTGCCTGCTGAGTGCTGATTATTTTCAGTCAAATTTCATAGACACTGGCCTCATGGGCGAGTTAGTCATCTTAGCATCAAGCCCCAGTTTCCCTGCTTATCTCGACGAATTGCAGCCTGGCGGCGCCTGGCCACAAGCCATTGGACATTTTTCTCACACCACTGCCCGTTTCTATGGAGAAATAAAAAAACAATGACAAAATTTGTACATCTTACGATCGTTCTTCAATCAGGTGCTTTAAGGACGGCCCAGTATAAAAATCAAAAACCGAAAGTTTACTTATTTTCACGGATGAGGTTTACGGATCATCTCACTTTGATCTCAAATAATGATCATTGAATTGATTCATAACGTCCTCAGAGGAGACAAAATTCAATCACAAAAATCATATAATTATTTATTCTAGTTAATTAATTCTAACTTTAACAGGAGTACCGAATTGGGTCTAATTTCGTATCTTTTTTTTTTTTTTCTACCAAACATACAAACGATGTGTTTTCCGGCATTGAAACCACAAAGTTTTCAAAATGTTGGTCTACTTTATAAGCTTAGAAATTGAAAATAATGCTTCACATTTAATTACACGTAAATATGTTTTCAAGAGAAAATGATGATTGATGTTTCCTAATACAGCAATCGCTCGCCAAACAAGGACAGGAAATGAGTCGCCAATTGAAGTGCCTTCAAGTCTAGAGTATATATCTGCGACAAATGAGCTAGGTTGATTATTACAAACGGGCTTCAAAGAAGTAAGATACAATAATTCAGAACCAATGACAGCTAACTGAATCAAAACACTGGAAATGCAGCATCCCAATACTTTATTTTTTAATAGAATTAACTGTGGCCGTGTATCGGTCTACGATCAATTATACGATCAAGCCGAATTGCGAATTTGAAAATGATGATGCACATTTAAATGCAAGGAAATCTATTTTCTCCTGCCGTGATTGATTAAGGCCCAGTCCAACACTACGCAGGAGGAATTTGAAAACGGAGCTTCATTTCTTTGTTTCTTTGTTTCTCGGGTTAGGCTTTCCGTCCACACTAATCCGTCACGAAAATGAAGCTTTACAAAAACGCTCTTCTAACCGGAGGAATTTGAAAACGCCAGCTTTGCGTTTTCGTGTAGACAGAAAACATTTTGTAAACGGAGGTTTTCGAAAACACGATGGCGTCACGATAATCATGTGATTTCTTTGACAGAGGTTTCCTCAAACACAAATCCAAAATGGCCGGCTAATGTTGCTTTTTCAAATTTCTCCGGCGTAATGTGGACGGAGAACATTTGTTACGTTTTCAGAGTGAAACCTCTGTTTTAAAATTTCTCCGGCGTAGTGTGGACGAAATACATTTGTTGCGTTTCCAGAGTGAAACCTCTGTTTTAAAATTTCTCCGGCGTAGTGTGGACGGAAAACATTTGTTGCGTTTCCAGAGTGAAACCTCTGTTTTAAAATTTCTCCGGCGTAGTGTGGACGAAATACATTTGTTGCCTTTCCAGAGTGAAACCTCTGTTTTCAAATTTCTCCGGCGTAGTGTGGACGGAAAACATTTGTTGCGTTTCCAGAGTGAAACCTCTGTTTTCAAATTTCTCCGGCGTCGTGTGGACGGAAAACATTTGTTGCGTTTCCAGAGTGAAACCTCTGTTTTAAAATTTCTCCGGCGTAGTGTGAACGAGGCCTAAGGTTATTAGGATTAAATATCACATTTCAGTCTGACATGTCATGGAGTGATTTCAAATGAGAAATGACTGATTTTTAACTTATTTCTCATTCTCATTTCGTAATTGTAACAATTACGAAACCCATTTTCTTGGTAAACATTTACTTCTCGCAGATCGACGCACTGTGGGTAGTTAAAAATCGCTGATTTCAGTACAACACGGGTCCCATTGGACAGTTTACAGTAAAGGATCTCTACGTTTAGTCAGGTATTGCCAAACTTTGCTGGCGTTAGCAGTTTTAGAAGCACTTTTAGTGCAACGGAGGCGCAGTTTTCGCGACAATTTGCTTATACACCTCCACGAAATGTGGGCGCGGTACAGCAGCCTTGATTCTAGAACAAAATGTTATCTTTTTCTGCCTTCGTAAGGTTGCACAAGTTAGGTTCTTTTCATTTATCTTAATCTTTCAACTTAAAGGACCTACGTCACGGTTTGTGCATTTTGAAAAGTTTAGCCGAAAACTTTCAAGTTCGTCGTTTGTAATCCGTGTTAATCTTCCCCATCCTTAACCATCCTTGTTCCTTTATGGTTTATTATTATATCTTTGGTGTTTTTCTATCTTAGTTACCTACTATTTTCGGGTTTTCTTTAATTCAAAGATTATTTTGTGAGCGGCCAAAATAACTCAAAATGTTGTGACTGAGCTCCTTTAAGAAAGCTAGGTGTAAAACATTTTGCGTGTGAACTTCCAGCGATAATGCTCAAATCCGTTGACCACATCAGGGACTTTGTTGTCCAACGTTGTTTACGGACAA